AAAATCCCTTATTTATGTAATGCTAAGCGTGTACCTCCCATTACTAGAGCGCCTGGTGTATTAGACCTGATCATGTGGAGAGACCTAGACATGATCGGGTTGCTGTCGAGTGAGAAATTCCGAAATTCGAATCGGACACGATCGGGTCAGACAACCACACACGATCGTGTCTCGCATGAGCAAACCAGAACGGAACTAAGACAGAACAGTGAAATTCACTCAAAATTTTGCGCAATCCTAAGAAATCGCCTGGAAAGGATGTGCAAGACTACTCAAGAACGACCAAGGCGAGCATGGGAGACTAGACTCAACAGCTAGAAAGTGTAGAGACTTACCGATTTCAGCAGATTCAAATGTGTGAGAGATGAAGATGAGCAGGAGAAGAGAGAGTGTGAGAGGGGGGACCACGACGACGGCGGTAGGTGATGGCGGTGGGAAATCGGCGGGGTGCGGCGAATGAAAGAGGAGGTGGAGAGAGATGAAACAGGTGAAAGAAGTAAGGGGAGAGGGTGAAAGTTAGGGTTAAATCGTCGGGCCCCTACAACTTACCTAGGGACACACGATCGTGTGAGCTGACGACACACGATCGGGTCTATTGCTAGTTCACTCACACGATCGTGTTGAGACATGTGACACGATCGGGTCATCATGCTGTCTCAGTGAAGGTGCACCCTGTGTGGAGAGTGAGAGTGCAAGGAAAACTGAAACGAAAATAGACAAAGAAAAAGATAAAAACGGTATATATACAAGATAAAAAAAAGGATATGGGTTCGGAGATCCGAACATGCTCGTTTAGAGTCGAAAGCAACGACCATGATGGGATTAGACGATGTGAGGGATGGAGAGAGGAAGAGTGCCTCTCGGGGGTCGGATCCTCGGGATTGTAAAGCTTCACTCGTTGGGCGTTTACCTTGAATGGTTTTCCATCGGAATTCCAGAGTTCGAGCGCACCATGGTCGGCAACGTTTTTTATCGTGAACGGGCTGGACCACCTAGATTTCAGCTTCCCTGGAAATAGTCTCAGACGAGAATTGAAGACAAGGACACGATCATTTACCTGGAAGGAGCGATGAATGATGTGGCGGTCGTGCCATCGCTTGGTGCGTTCCTTGTAGATTTTTGCATTCTCGTAGGCGTCGAGACGAATTTCCTCGAGATGGTGGAGTTGTAAGACGCGCTTCTCTGAGGCCGACTTGAGGTCGTAGTTCAATGCCTTGATAGCCCATAATGCCTTATGTTCCAACTCAACTGGCATATGACAGGCTTTACCGTATACGAGCTGAAAAGGGGTCATGCCAATAGGGGTTTTGAAAGCAGTTTTGTATGCCCATACTGCATCGTCGAGTTTCTTTGACCAGTCTTTGCGAGAGGGGAGACGGTTTTTTCGAGAATAGATTTGATCTTCCGGTTAGAGATCTCGACTTGACCACTAGTCTACGGGTGATAAATCTTCCTCCCTTTCGTGATCGGACGAGTTCTTCAGTTGATACAGGCCCCAGATCTATTGAGGTAAGCGTTCTAACGTTTCTACGATTCATAGCATCATGGTTCTAGGGTTTATTAAATTTTTATTTTACATCCGCTGCGCAAACCCTAGAATCGATCTCATAGGAATAGGATTTGCTCTAGAGATCTCAGGATTCCCATCAGTGGTATCAGAGCCTGGTTGCCCTGTTTTGATTTCGTAGAACCCGATCACGCACGTTTTAGGATTTGAATTGTTTGAACATGACCCATGACACGTACGATCGAGGCCTTGACAAGTGCTTTACTCATAGAGCTCCTAGATCTATCCAGTTTCTTGTGACGATTAACATAATCCGAATAGACCATCCATTCGATTATGTAATCCCAATCTCGAAGCTCCCACTCAATCAAGCATATCCCATATCTTGATCAAGTTACATGCATTCATTCACTATGGACCATCCATAAGAATGAATCATGTCTATTTGAGTTACAGTTGATCAGATTAAGCAACGATAGACCGTCCGTTCCGGCGTGTCGGACCGCTCGTTCTGCGAAAGCCTGGAACGTCTGTTCTACATCTAGAACGGACGGTCCGAGGTCCAGATTCCGAAATTTTTCGTTTTCTAGGTCCGATTACGCAATCGTTGCTTAATCTGATCAACTGTAACTCAAATAGACATGATTCATTCTTATGGATGGTCCATAGTGAATGAATGCATGTAACTTGATCAAGATATGGGATATGCTTGATTGAGTGGGAGCTTCGAGATTGGGATTACATAATCGAATGGATGGTCTATTCGGATTATGTTAATCGTCACAAGAAACTGGATAGATCTAGGAGCTCTATGAGTAAAGCACTTGTCAAGGCCTCGATCGTACGTGTCATGGGTCATGCCAAAGCTGGGTGTGCCATGCTATCTTGGTGAGGCAAGATGGAGAAATAGTGGTTCTCATAGCTTGAAAATAGATGCTTGATCTAGGTGTGGTTTCGAAAATCCCTTATTTATGTAATGCTAAGCGTGTACCTCCCATTACTAGAGCGCCTGTCAAGGCATCGATCATCCATAACACGGGTCATGCCAAAGCTGAGCGTGCCAGATTATCTTTGTGAGGCAGGGTGGGAAATTGTGGTTCCCACAGCTTGAATATGGTTTGCCTTAGGTTAAGTTGTCGAGTTTGACTTGAGACTTAACGGTACAGATGAGACGAGTATGCAATGATATTCGATATCATAGTCTCATAAAAGATCTAAGAGTCACATTGGATGTGATTGACATTAGATGTCTACCTAAATAGCGTAAGGCTGAGTGTAACAACTCATTCTTATGTGAAATACGGATCTTATAGTCTCATATAGAAAATTATTATAGGGTTAGTTTTCCTTATGGGAATTTAGCTTGTGTTTGCATCTATGTTGTCATTGGTTGATGATGGACTAGCTAGTAGTAGATCATGGATATGTTGACATTGATTGATGATGGACTAGCTGGTAGTAGATCATTAATAGAATATGCATTTGTTTTTGTTCGTTCTGTTTTGTCTTTTTCTGTAGGACATGGCGTCAACCGGTAGCGTACCGAGTTTGACGATGCGATCTATCCTTGAGAAGGATAAGCTGACCGGGACGAACCTCTTGGACTGGTATCGTAACTTGAGAATTGTTCTTGATAACTCCTATTCTTCTCTATATTTTGATGAGAGTTTGTCTAGGTTTTATAGGATAATCACATGCATTCATAGGCATTCTAGGCGTGTTAGGATACAAAACCCGGTTGTGCTCTAGTTTTGCAGAGTTACAGGTTTCGGAGATGATTGGACTCGAAAAGGAGCTAATTGGAGCGTTAAAGGAGAAGTCCGGATGAGGTACTCATGTTGCGACATCAATAACTTTATATACAGACGTCCAAATCGTACGAGACTTATACCATTGGAAAGAGCTGTTGGTTTAGTGCTCTATGATGTACTGATTATGAGCTTTGTTCAGATACATTCGATGTATTGATACTTTCTATATGTTTTTTTATGAGAGTATCTTGTTCATTACATGTTC